TGTTCGTCGGGGATTTAATTTCGTTTATTTGGTTGTTAACAATTATCAACGAAATTAAATCCCACAGGAATTTCTCATATGACTATATATTGAATAGGGCTACTTTCAAAACAACGAAATTTAATGCCCACGAAACTAGTTTAGATGACAAATCAACGAAAGTTTATCCCCATGTGCTTCTACAGTATATTCTTGTATAAAACAAAAATATCTAATCTCTAGTGTTGAGAGTGTTCTGAAATTCTCATGGTAAGCTTTCTAGTTGGAATACATTTCAAGATGAAAATCCACATTATTTAAATAATAATAGAATGATTTCCTCCTTTTTTATACAGGAATTCACAGTTGCATTCATAGCAGAAAAAGTCTTAGCTAGGTCATATATTTTTCCGCAATGGCTACAATTGTAGCAAATTGTGCTGTACGAATTGACGTACAAGGACACCTTTTTCTTAATTTTTACATGTATATTTGCACAAATTTTGAATAAAGTGGACGTAAGTACGTTAAATAATATGTTATTGAGTTGTACGCAAAATTGATGGAGGAGACTATTTCTTAAGAAATCTTACAAATAGGTGGTTTAAAAGACTGATTTAATAAATTAATCGATCTATTATTAAGAATCGGTTTTCATTTATGTTGAAGGAAAAAATATACAGAGGATGTAAATAAAAGTAAACGTATACGAAAAATTAAAATTTCCCAAATAACTGAAATTCATTAATGAAAGAGGAATATTAAATAAATTATTAAATGAGTTTAAGCGTTGCTTACAAAATTGGAAAACATACCGTTAGCCTGTGGAAACAAGGTAATGGAATGATTTAATTGAGAATATTATTCTATATGATAAGCTTTATCAAGTTGTATTTTATCCATATTGAATGTTGCGTTAAAGTTTCTCAATACGACATGCAATCTGTACACAATAATGTTGTAAATATTCATTAATTGTGGATGAATTGTTATATAGTAATAGATGATTCTTTTTAAAAAGAATTTACGCCGAAATCAAATTTTAATATGATAGAAATAACTGGAAATTTGTTTCGAGTCATATCTTTTATTTTTATATATAAAAAAGATAACTTTAAATACATATGTACAAGCAGGCACAAAATTGATTTATTTTTGTGAAATTTAGCATGGTTTATGTCATTGATAAATGCTGGATGCATTCGAATTTTAATTAACTATTCCATTTTTTAAATCTTTTAATAAAAAATGATATATTTCATCACAGATGTGACAGAAATAACATTATTACATTGGGTGATGATGGAAGAAGATAATAAACAGTGATCGATCTCATAAAAATTTCAAACAATGTAAATATGTGAACAGGGCATAACCACGGACCCCTGGAAATTCCAGAGGTGGGATCAGGTGCCTAGGAGGAGTAAGCATCCCCTGTTGACCGGTCACACACGCCGTAAGCCGCATGTATTGATCAAGTAGGCGGAACATTCCGTAGTCAAATTTAGTATAAAAACAATGGTCTAACAATTGGTAGGAAACAAGTCAGCCAAAATACGACCCTGTGATTAGATTATATTTGCTTATAAGGTCATTATAACCATCTTTATCTATATTCATTATAAGGTCATTATAACCATCTTTATCTATATTCATTATAAGGTCATTATAACCATCTTTATCTATATTCATTATAAAATTAATTTTAGTCAACTTTCGCATGATTTAAGTTATTGTTAATTTTTTTTTCTAGAAAACATACGAATCTTTGATTTACAATTTAAAATAAAATTTCTTCTTTGTAATCAGTATCATTAATTGTATTCAACGATGAAATGAAAACTTAGTATTTTTACAGTGGTCAGTGTAATGCATAGATAATTATCAGTGAAATCACAAACCTCCAGCATGCACGGCGATTATGGCAGCCAATACTAATAGTGTAATAAAAAGGATCTTCATCTTTCTAGAAAGCAATTTGTCGAAGCAATTGCTTGAATATTGTAGAAATGGACCTTTTATAGTAAAAAAAAAATATGTTAATAAGGAGTCTTTTGTATCATAGTTTAACGTAGAAACATGGAAAAGGTGTAAAAGAAACAAAAACAAACATGACCAGTTATTTATATCAAAGTATGGTCATTGCCTTCTACGTAATAGTATCCCCTTTTGTAAATAAGGATTGTAACATTTGGAATTACAAATGACTTGAACTATAGAACTTAGATAAAGCAAAACGACTAAATCTATATCTAAGTATGTTAATATTTTACTTCGGAATGTTACACACATGCGTAGGTTATTTTAGCATATTTTGAGAGGTTAAAAAGAAGCACTTCAAAAAGGAATTTTTGAATCCAAATGATATATTAATAGATTAATAGCCATAATCAAGGATTACTAGTTCTTATCAATCGGTTTTTCAAATTTATTTTTATTATTACGAAATTGAAGTATCCCATTCCCGCTGACAATGATTATACGAACTTTATGTGCCATTGATAAGTTGAAAATACCATATTTTGTACAAAAATTCAATCCCTAACAACATATAAAGGTTACAATGAATTCATAGTTAAAATTTATTAAATACATAAAAAATGTATCATAATTCCATGATTTCATTCGGTTTCAATTTACTGGAATTAAGGGTTCCAGATCATAACCCGAATACCTTTCCAAGTTCATTGAAATACATAATGATTACACAATTTATTCACTGGATCCAGCATACTCGGGTCTAAATTCACCCCAACTGCAATGAACGGAACTTTATCACCAATTTTAGAATACAACTATGGCAAAATAATATTCTTTTATATTTGACATGGGTATATCAGTTTACAAATACATTTGTTTATATTTATTAAATAATAATGCCCTCATTGTTTTGAAAACTGTTACAGGGCTAGAACAGAAAGTACTAGGAAGCATCTATTTAATATATACATTCAAATAATATAGATTTTTTTTATCTGTGCTAATAGGTATCCATTAAGCTACTTTTGCATATTTTGTCGGGATGACATTGAGCATGTGAAAAATAATCCATCCGCTTTACCATAAGATCACCTATTGATTTCATTAACTGCTTAAAAATATTCGAGAATATAATTTCAAGAAATTATGGAATTTTAACCACGAATTTTGTAATGTATGTGCCTATTGATGATCCTTATGTAACAAATATCATTTTTGAATTTTGAAACAATTTTTTGGCATGGCAAGACTCCGCCAACTTAAGGTAAAATTTGTGATGTCTTCACTTAGTTCTTGATTCCATCTTTTCTCCAAAAAAGATTACCATCCATTACCCCTAATTATTTAAATGCAAAAAATACTGTTTTCATAATTTTTTTCATCTTATTCATCTTAAAGATGATCAGTACGGAAAACAAATAATAGGAAATCTTTAAGAAACAATTAAACGAAAAACAAATACAGTATAAGTGGAAATTTTAGCGAGACTCAAATTTAGTGATTTATCTTTAAATAATGGTAATCAATTTTTAGCGAGAATCAGTTTTAGCGATTTTAAAGTGCCTACTAAAGAAACTATTACAAATAAAACGCAATTAATTTTTAGCGATATTCAATTTAGCGATCTCAATACCCTCGCTAATAATGCCAAAATAAAATCCTCGCTACAAATTCTGCTTATACGGTAGAATGATATGAAAAATAAACTTAAGTGTAAACTGTAAACGACGGAAATACATTATTATATTATTATAAAGGGGATTGACTTTCATTATGAATAGTAAGCGGACCATTACTATATAATAATGATGATCTGAAATCAAGCGTACATTCTGACTAAAAAACAACTGATTCATAAATGTAACAATGAATTTTAGTTTCATTAATTATTATTGAAGTCAAATTTAACCAAATAACAATTTTCTTTGCTGTCTTTTGAAGTGGCTCGTAAATTGATAAAATTGTAACCCCCCTACCCCCACCCCGACAAATTCTTGATTTAGAAAATCAAAAGAAATTTAAAATTAATTAAATAAGTAAACGTTTTGAATATGAAATGCATTATTGTAAATTAAAAATTAATTCTCTATTAAATTTGTTATTGCGTTACATGAATACGATTATTTTTGATTATTTTTCTCAAATATGTCTTCGTTTTAAATTAGAAAAGAATCTATTATAATGGTGAAAAATAATACTTATTACATGTACGTGTAGAATTTTATTCAATTGGAAAAGCAATTACCATTCACTTAGTTGAATTTCTCCAATATTAAACATATCAATAAATAAAGTGTTCATGTTTGCACAAAACCAATCTAAAAAAAAAAAACCACTCGTGTTTTATTTTCACTTAATCCTCCCTTAGTTATACAATGTATATGTTAAAGATTTAGATTTGTCTGTGTATCAGAAATATGGATGTTATTTTAGTGCTTGTAACGTAAATTTCATCTTTATGCGCAGGATCATGGAGCAAAATTAGAGAGTATAACAGAAACATGGATATGTAGATTACATGTACATATGTCATAACAAAAAAAAGTATTCTCAAAACCACAATATTTAACAAAACTGATGTTTTGTTTGCCAACATCAGCATATTTTTAGACCACCACCATATGTTTACAAGAATTCCTGAGCTAGGCAGCCATGTCATTGGTTTATGTTAGTTAATTCCCTTACTTTTCTATGTATATTCCACAACTAATTTGCTACAAACTAAGTAGAGAGGCACCAAAGAGATATATAAACGGAAAATAAAGTAAAATGTTCCTGTATTGCATCATATTCCGATGCCATATCAAATTTATTCAATCTAAAATTTTCCAAAGGAATCAAAAATGTTATAAATGTTTAAAACAATACAACACTGTAACCTTTTACTAAAAAAATCCCATGCAGCACCTCAGAATATACGTATGTCAATGCTTTCAAATTAATAACGCTCCCGCAGCAATGCATGTTAAGATGTTAAGGCATATTTAACGTCAAGTATATATAACACGAAAGTTTGCAAGAAAAATCATCGAGTCCCAGCAATGATCTCCAAAGACATTGGTCGCCTGATCGTGCTATCAGCATTTGTAGCACTCTGTGCTATTGTGTTCTTTCCCTCTGAAGCAGAGGGAAGCGGTGAGAAATTGCTTTTATTATTATCTTGTTTTTAAAACAAATAGCACATATTCTCTAGCACATCATGCTTTTTGTATGGTAAATTTAATAACACGAACTTTAACTTTTTGTTCTGATTATGTTTATGACAAAAAGAGAAGCTGTAATAAGACGTTTTTTTCAAACAAGTTATTTTTATATTGTTGATGTATTCTTTTCATCCATTTTTAGGTTATGGAGGTGTAAGTAGAAAGAAAAACATATACTCTTAATCATTTACAATAACGATTTTAATGATAAACAATCCTGCTTTCCTGTATTGAATTTCATTTAAATTTCAGTTGGTTCGGCTTTTAAGAAAAAAAAATAAATAGAGGATATTCAATGTTTTGTAACTGGATATGGAATTTATTTCACGGGTTGGACAAGATTTCTATATATATAGATAAATCTTGTACTCGAGTACTAAGCACGAGTGAAAATATTAAAAAAAAATTGACTCACTAGTGAGATGAATTCCATATCCAACTATAACACATTGAATTTTCTTTTTATTAGATTTTCTTTGATTTTCTCTGCTTTTCTCAACACAGTTTCACAGGCTGTGACGTCATAATTGAGCGGTTGAGACGTCATAGCGTAGCAGTCAAGAGATCGAAAAACATTGTAACATGAAATTGAAAACATTGCAACATGGATTTTAGAAACATATTTTGGAAGAAATTGGCAGTTTTTGTCTCTAGCAAAATGGTTTAGATACTATCTCTATCTAATGGCAGGCCAGAAATTATTTTAATTACTTTGATATCCTTTCACACTGTGACAGAATATCACATTGGCATCATTTCACACGGTGACAGAATATCACTTTTATTCAATCAATAAATCACAGTATTTAACTGTTGAAAATATAATCACATGAATTTCTTTTGAATTATAAAAAATGGATAGATCTTTCTTTTTGTTCACAATGTAAATTTCGAACCATATGTTTAATACAAGTAAGGCCATGATTATTACCCTGCTTCCATATTTATCTTTCATTGATAAGGTTACCCAATATCGAGGGGGTGTGAAACGGCGTTATCCATTTGGTAAATTCCACCCTGGATTTCCATTTAAGCGTGGATTCCCAGGAAAATACAGAGGAAGAGGAAAACTCAGGAAGGGAAGACGAGGATATAAGTTCGGAAAGAAATTCGGAAAGCGCCGAGGATTAAAGAGAGGTAGGGGATACGGAAGACGAAGGGGGCTCAAGAAAGGAAGGGGAAGGAAATATAAGTTTGGAAGGAGAGGAAAGGGGTACGGAAGACGCCGAGGATTGAGGAAATATAGGAAAGGAAGAGGAAAGAAAAGAATTGGAAGGAGATACGGAAAGGGCAGAGGAAGAGGCAAGGGACGAAGACGAGGGAGAAAATACAGTGGCGGATATGGACCACGTAAGCGTGTTGGAGGAAAGAGACGCAGGGGACGAGGAAAATACAGGAAAGGTTACCCCAAAAAGAAGAACCCCGACAACTGTTAAATGAACAGATTGCCGACTCAAAATCTTGTAGAATGTTTCATATTGCAATTATGTTATGAACGTATAATAAAATAATCAAATATACATTGCTTTACTTTTGACTTTTAAGTACTGACTTCAGTGAGAGATTATGAAAATTCAGTTTTCAGTTAGAACTAAAAGTTGTGTGGTATAAATCAATAATAGGTGCAAGAGCTTTTAACTTTGGGAAAAAGTCAAATGTGAAAACAAAGTGAAATAAGTAATTTTGAAGATGATGGTATTATTCCCGATCAACCTCCGTAACAGAGGGATTTCGAATTTTCGAGACTAAAGATAGCATCCAAACTTTGAATATCAGTAGCTTATGTCTCAGCTGTCACATGTATAGAAATAATAAACTATACCCAAATTGTTTGGTAGTAGCTGATTTAAATTTTAGAAATTGACCCTTTGAAAACATAGAGAAATGGGATGGTTTATGACGGTTTTGTGGAAAGCTCAAAATGTTTTTCGGTACGTGTCTCCTTAATTCGAAACTTGAGCTTATACACAAATAAATAGCCTAATCTTCATGCCCTTAAACAAACGGGATATCCCTAACTAGATGATGCCATCAGAAAGAACTGCCAGAAGTTCATGCATTTGTAAATTTCTTTCATTAATGTTTCATTTAATAGTTGAATTAATAGGGCATTAATAATGTAATGTGAAAAAGTACATCGTAATATTCCTAGAAACTACCTTTCAGTAAAAATGGATTAATGAAAAGAGTGAGCTATGATAATTTTAAAACTATATTATCAGATCCAGTGATGATATGTGAATATTGAGAAGAGATTTTTATCAAAGAAAAACTAGTTACTAAGCAGAAAATTTTAGGAATACGAGGGGTGATCAAAAAGTTCGCGAACTAATTGAATAACTTTCTTAAAAGAAATAAAATGAGGTTTCAGTGTTCATTATTTTTTAAAGTAGTCCTCACCGATTTTAATGCACATCTGCCATTGTTCTGCCCATGCGCGAATCACGTGATCCAAGCGGTCACGTGACATGCTTCGTAGCGGTCTGTTCACAGAAGCTAAGAGATTTTTCCGAGTGTTATATTTCTTACCATGCAAGTAATTCTTTATAACAAGAACAGACCATCTGTCAGAAATGGCCAAATCTCGGCAATAGGATGAGTGGATAAGGATATCCCTTCCCAGAATTAGCATGGTGACCTTCACAACCCGAGTCCTCTGTCTCGGGAGCGTCGTTTACCCAATGTGGAAAAAGTATTGGCGCCTTCTTTTTTTCATATCTCATATGTTTTGAGTCTAAAGTCAACGAAATTTTAGGGATTTAATAATTATATTATTGCTCAGATATTCAACTATTTTTATTACTGTAACTTGGCGATCTTTCAAAACAAATTGCTCAACTAAGGACACATCTTTTTACCGGCTTGCTTTCGCTGGTTAACAGAACAAACATCATTTTTAACCACATCCCTGCCTTCACTAAAACATTCAATCCAATTAATGATTGAACTTCTGGTAAGTCTTTTGTCTTCATAAACCTTGTACAAATTATCATATTCTACTGCAAAGGAATTTCCGAGATATACGTTAAACTTTACAGCCGTTCGTTACTCGAGTACGACTGAGTCAACCATTTTTTTTCACAAGTGACCTACATACTGACGTCATTTTTACATTGTGACGTCACAAACATGGAGCAAAACATTATTTAACATCTGCTATTTATAGAACATGTGTATGACTATATGTGTACAAAGTTTCATTCTGATCTGAATTGTGGTTTTTTAAATATAGAGATAGTTCGCGAACTTTTTCATCACCCCTCGTAGTAAAGAAGTTTGATGAAAAAAAAACAGGATCAATTCAAGACAGCACACAGAGCAATGGAGGCAGACCAAAGTCAGTATCACTTCTAGAGACAATTCTACAGGTGCAACGGATACTAGGAGAAACGACACAAAAAATTTATTACGAAGGTTTTGAGTGATATAAGTAATACTATGCCATGTAGTAGGCCTAGTGTTTAAAGAATTTTAAAATTTAATCTAGACCTAGAGAAAGCTTCTAGAATGTCTGAAATGCTGCTCTTTATGGAAAGTGACACTGACAGCCATCTTACTTTTGCAACGCAGTACAGTTAAGGTGCCAAATAGAAATATCGGCGAATTCTTTACATAGAAAATATATTCTTTACAAGGATGGGCAATTCTGTTTAGGACTTTACTATTATCGGACAAAGGCAATGTGATTGAAAACTACATGTTGAGGACGATTAGATTTAGACTGTCACGTAATGTTGCAGTCACGTGATTTTAGCAAATATACTTCAAGTATATCTATAAATTCCAATATTGCAAGGGCATAACCAAGTTAAAAATCTAAGTTTAATATACAATTATTTTCAACACTCTATGTAGTTTGTGAAAAGTGCTGCGAACCTATTTAGATTCTACTATCTAATTGATAAAATTACATTTGTTAGACCGTATGTTGAATATATTGTTGGTCAAGTACATTAAATATAGATATAATTAATTCATTTGCAAGATTTCAACAGGTTCGCAGCACTTTTCAAATATCTTCATACTTCTTGAGTTTATGTGTAAAAGCTTGCCATAACTCATTGAGGGTATGCCCTTGCAATATATCGATTTATTACGACCCTTCTATTACTCTTCAGTGAATCTGCATACAAATATACGGCAGTATCGCTTGTCTGGGGAATGTACGGGAAGTATATGAATAAAATCATAAAATAGACATCGCATCCAAGTTAATGGCCTCTTATATATCTGCAAATAATATTTGATTTCATTACAAAATACATTTTTCATTGTATAAAATATAAGTTGATCCGCCTCTCTACAAACTGTGTCAAATTTTACGATATGACGTCACATTTACAAGTGCATTGCGACCAGTGAATTGTTTATATATTGCTGTGTGGAGTTTAACCAACGACAAAAATGCATGCACTTGTTAAAAACAGTTTAAAATAGCAAATCATTACATTTTGTGGTAATTTGAAGAACTTATATTTTGTGTGATGTCATAGTAAGCATTTCCCGTATAAATTAGGCCCGGCTTACTTATTGCAGCCTTAACTGTGCTGCGAAATGGATGAACGAGCATGATGATATAATCAATGCTTTTCGATATGGTTGCAATGACAATAGTAATAGTGTGGGAAATCTTTCAAGTCCCGACTGTTGGAACGTTTATGTGATAGAACTGTTTAACAAAATGGAAAGTTGGCCATAAGTGCCGAGTATAGGACAAAATTTGCAGCTTTACACCGGCAAGTGGTGGCGTATCCATATGAGTGAAAAATTCTCGAGAGGGACGTTAAACAACATACAAACAAACAAAATGGAAAGATGTAACCATATCTCATGGTCATCAATCTTACAATAAACTTAATATACATGACATCTCTTTAAATTCACTTCTTCCGTACCTCAGTAACCAGTATGGTTGAAATAAAATAAGGAGATTACGAACTTTTTTCCACCTCCTAAGCCCATTCAAACAATAAAAATCAGAAGCAGAGCAAACACGGACCTCTAAAACTTCAGAGGTGGGATCAGTTGCCATGAAGGAGTAAGCATCCCCTGCCGATGGGTCACACCTTCCGTGCGCTCCTTGTCAGGATCGGGAAATAACGGAAAAATCCGTCGAGAATTCCGTGTGTAAAAAATAATGGCCAAACAATTAAAATGAAAAACGTCAGTCAGCATTTGACCTAATGATAGATTGTATTTGCTGAAAAGGTCATGTATTGACCATAAAACTTGCTAAATGATGACTTTGACCATAAAACTTGCTAAATGATGACTTTGACCATAAAACTTGCCAAATGATGACTTTAAACGAGACTGCTGATATTCTTCTTTCAGCAACTTGTTTGACAATAGCTTGCCTCATTTAGAAATTGTTCATATGTAGAGCATGCTCTAATCACAATATGCCTTTCAAAACATGCAAAAATTGATTGAAACTAGGATACTGACACTTAAAAGAGAGTAGTTATGAGAGTCAAGTAATTAACTAAAGCCATTTAAAGAACAACGAATGACCTTAACATTTGGTATTGAACCTATAATATATTCTCCTGCTGACCTAGTTTAGAAACAATATTGCAAGACAGATAAGATCTTAGTGGCTACCTGGAAAAAATCTGAATGGACTCTCTATGTCAAGAACTTGAACGTAAAGACTTTGGCCTTATAATATATATTTCAAAGCATGTTACAAAGTAAAATTTAAAAGCTTTGTGTTAAACGTATCTAGTCTTCTTTGTATCTGTCATTTAAAAAACAAACCTTTTTATAACAATTTTGAAATTAATTGATCGATCTTTAATAACCTTGTCCTATGATACTTCAAAATATGAATTATAAAGATGTGTTTCAAATTCATCTACTATCTTATTATGAATATGTATGCAAAAAAATTAAATTAGTTATTAGTTTTACCTAAACAAAAAAGTGCTGAGAGAGATATTTTATTTGATCCACTTTCAGGAATACTTTGCAATCTTTTTCCTCTCTCTCTCTCTCTCTCTCTCTCTCTCTCCCCGGGTTACCAACTTCCAGCATCACTGGTCTGTACTGTAATAGTGTATACTCAAAAATCTGAAAAAAAGTTGAAAAACTAAAACATTATAATTGTATGTAATTTTGCTTTCACATACTAAGCACCATTTTTAGTTTAGCTCGATTTATTTGTCTGTTTTTTTCTTAAATACAAGTTTCTCACGTCATAAACGTTAGAAATAATTCTAAGTCAAGTCATCAATGGTTGATAAAATAACGGATAAAATTTTTGCCGTTGACGTTTAAAAATAAATAATCCATGAGTTAAATACTGCATAAAGTGAAATTTTCGCATCCATTTTATCTTTGCCCCTTTCGCCCTAGATCCATGCGGGCGAATTAAAGACGGGATGAATTCATAGAAAAAATGTATATTTATATATATTTATATTAATATTTTCTTAACCAAAACTGTGATTGGGTGAATATATAACTGGGTAAAAATTGTTTTTAAATGCGAAAGGGCTTAAATACATGTAACACGGTGCGAATAAAACCCTGAATACAGTATAATAATCATGCAAATACAGTATATATTATAAATCATTCATTAATGTAAATCAAAGTAATTAATAAGGTATCACTATAATACAATCATAGGGATATAAATACTGGTTGATATGCGATCAAGTAAACCATAAGAAATTCGTATTTATATCCCTATAGATTTTTTAAAATGATATCTTTTTTCTTAAATAGTTTGTAAATTTGAGGTTTATGCATATGCTTAGGATCTTGTAAAAAAAGAAGCAGAAATCAGTTCAGTATTGAAACGTTTTAAAGGGGGACGGGACTGACTTAAATTTACACTACCTCAGGATGCTTCTATATCAATATTAATATTCATGGCTTTGCTGTTCTTAAGCAGAAGAATTTTTATATTTTTTTCCCTTAGTATGTATTCATATGTAAAACTCTTATTGCTCATTGTGGCCCCACCCTAACCCACCGTAAATTTGAATAAATTTGAATCTTCACTACCTGAGGATGCTTCTATATTAATATGACTTATCTTTGCGTTTGTGTTCTTGAGCAGAAGATTTTTTCAAAATGATTCCTATGTATTCTTATGCAGAACGTTGACACTCTGTTGTCCCCCCAACCCCTGGGGGTCATAATTTGAACAAACTTGATTCTGCAATACCTAAGGTTGCTTCTGTATAAATATGACTAATAATAGCTTAGTTGTTCTTGAGAAGATTTCAAAAATATTTCCTATGTAACGTGTATGATCAGGTTCTTACAAGGGATATATAGGTTTTCCTTTTACTTTGAGTTAATGATTGGAATGATTATTAAGACAGCTCTGTCTGAGGGTATATCATACAATACTTAAATTTTCTATTACATAGAGATGGGGACTTGGTAATATACCGACTATTCAACACCTACACATCTGTTATGTATTGATTTTCATTGAATCTTTTGATATTAAGATCGAATACCTTAACTGCTTTATTGCTGATTCATCATCCAACTTCTTCAGATACTTTCTGAATGCCCGACTGTCCAAAAGCTTTGCCTTATATACCTTTAGACTAGTCCATTCCAAGGGTTGTCAGGTCATTCCACTATTTGAAGTCTTCAATGCGTTTTAGTCAAATGCCCATTAACCATTACACCTATTTGTTCTTATATAAACCTTGACCCACTGTTGTGCCCCCCTTCTACCCCCAGGGGTCATGATTTGAACAAACTTGAATCTACACTACCTGAGGATACTTCTATTATAATACGACTTATCATGGTATTGCGGTTCTCGAGAAGAAGATTTTTAAAGACATTTCGTATATATTCCTATGTAAAACTTCGACTCCCTTTTGTGACCCCGTCCTACCCCCAGGATATGAACAAAAATGAATCTAGAGTATATAATGAAGCTTTCACATGAGTTTCATCTTCTCTTGCCCAGTGGTTCTTGAGAAAATTTTTAAAAGATGCCACCAAATTTTCACGAATTCTTAATTATCTCCCTTTAAAAGAGGGTATAGCACTTCCTATGTACAAACTTAAATTCCCTTCACCTAAGGATGCTTTGTGGCAAGTTTGGTTGAGATTGGCCCAGTGGTTCTTAAGAAGTAGTCGAAAATGTGAAACGTTTACAGACGGACGCCGGACACTCTTTGATCAGAAAAGCTCACTTGAGCCTTCGGCTCAGGTGAGCTAAAAAGTAAAAGCATATTTCTCCTTCTTTTACATAAACGTGCATTTGTAGATTAGTTATTCCAAAATAAGACATTCTCAAATCCGATAAAATAACAAATTTGCTGTTTTGTTAGCCAAAATTAGCACATTTTTAAGACACCACAATATCTTTACAAGTAATTCTTCGGTTAGACAGCCATGTCCGTGCCTTATTTTAGTTAAAACCGTCACCTTTCTATGTATATTCCACAATTAATTCTCCTACACAATCACGGAAGAGGCCTAAATATGATAAACAAAGCTAAATAATTCAAATCAAGTATGTTTCTTTATGGAATTATTCCAATTTCATTACAATGATATGCTCCGAAGGAAACCGATATTATATAAATGTTTTTGACATACACCAAAGTTGTTTAAATTAAAATTCATCCTTTATTGTACCTCACAATATGCTTTAGTCAATGATTTCGTATCAATAACGCACCAATAGCACTGCATGTTTAAGCATAAAGGCATGATAAATGTAAAGTATATATAGCTTGAAAGTTTGCAAGAAAAATCATCGAGTCCCAGCAATGATCTCAAAGCAGATTGGTCGTTTAATTGTGCTATCAGCATTTGTAGCACTTTGTGCTATTGTGCTCTTTCCTTCTGAAGCAGAGGGGCGTGGTGAGAAATTGCTTCTACAATAATCATTTTTTTAAATCTTTGAAATTTACTAGCATATTATTCTTTCCATGAGAAGGTAATCACTATGGCCCTTTAATTCGACTGTAATTTGTACTCTGGGTGTTGATAAAATTTACAAAGAAGAAAATATACTTTGTAAATTATAATTATAAAAGTTCTATTTTACAGTCTCTTGATATTAATTTTTTCATGTATTCTTTTTATGTTTACTTTTTTAGGATATGGAAGTGTAAGTAGACAAATAAAGAATTATATTTTAATAATGATCTTTACGACTAAAATTCCTGCTTCCTTGTATAAAGTTGCATAAGAATTTCACATTTAACCTATATTAAAAACAAACAAACAAACAAAAATGTTAATATTCATTTATAAGTTAGGTTTAATGTATGAATTTTGAACCAAATGTATGGGATGAAATCTTACCTGATAAATGATATCAACGATTTTCCAACATGCCCCATTTTATCTTTTGATGCACAAAGGTTTCCCAGTATCGAGGCGATGTAAAACGGCGTTATCCTTTTGGCAAATTCCACCCTGGATTTCCATTTAAGCGTGGATTCCCAGGAAAATACAGAGGAAGAGGAAAACTCAGGAAAGGAAGAGGAGGATACAAGTTTGGAAAGAGATTCGGAAAGCGCCGAGGATTGAAGAGGGGTAGGGGATACGGAAGACGAAGGGGGCTCAAGAAAGGAAGGGGAAGGAAATATAAGTTTGGAAGGAGAGGAAAGGGGTACGGAAGACGCCGAGGATTGAGGAAATATAGGAAAGGAAGAGGAAAGAAAAGAATTGGAAGGAGATACGGAAAGGGCAGAGGAAGAGGTAAGGGACGAAGACGAGGAAGAAAATACAGAGGAGGTTACGGACCACGTAAGCGTGTTGGAGGAAAGAGACGCAGGGGACGAGGAAAATACAGGAAAGGTTACCCCAAGAAGAAGAATCCCGACAACTGTTAAATGAACAGATTGCCGACTCAAAATCTTGTAGAATATTTCATATTGTAATTACCTTATTCATGTATAATAAAATAATCAAATGTACATTGCTTTACTTTTGAATACTGGCTTAAATGAGTTCAAAGAAAAAAAAAAATCAAGAGTTTTCAATTTTGATGGAGAGAAAGTTTGACAAGTATTAAACTTTAACGAGGAAGACAGTTATTAAAGTATGGAATCTCTGTCTTGCGTTAAACAATCAAGTAGTTTTGTAGATTGGCTGTCGGGTCCTTTTTACATGTATATACCTTTTCTTCTATATGAGAAGAAGGGTTTATTACCTCTAACTATAAGTCATGTGGTATTGATAATTTAAATAGACACAAGAGCTTTTAACTTTGTCAGATGTGAAAACAAAGTGAAATTAGAAATTTTAAAGATGATGGTATTATTTTCCGCCCAACCTCCTTAATAGAGTGATTTCGTATTTCGAGACTAAAGAAAACATTCGTAGTTTAATTATTAGTAGGTAAATTCTTGCTGTTTTAATATGTATCGAAATAATATACTTTAACGGAATTGATTGATATATTCTAAGTATAATTTAAGAAATTGTTCCTTTGAAAAATAAAGCAAAAAGATTTTTGACGGTTATTTGGCGAGCTCTGGGTACCTCCTTTAATTAAAAAAACCTTAGCTTTAATATTTCGAAAACGCAAAAATAAATATCCCAAGGGTATTCCAAACTACGTGATGCCATTGGCAAGAACTGTCAGTGGCACATGCTTTTGTAAATTTCTTTGATTTATACCTCGTTTAATAATTGAATTAATAGTGTAATAATATTGTAATGTCAAAATGTACATCGTAATATCGCTAAAAAAAATATACTTTTCAATAAAAATGGATATATGAAGAAAGCGATCTACCATTATTTTAAAACTACATTACCAAATCCAGTGATCGTACTGTTATAAGAATATCAAAAAAGAGATTTTTCCAAAGAAAAATGAGTCAGTAAGCAGCAGATTTTAAGAATAGTAAAGAAGTTGAGGAATGAAATGATCATCTAAAGACAACAGACAGAACAATGGAGGCATACCAAAGAGAGTGAGAATTCTAGAGACAAACAATGAAATAGTAGAATTTATATAGGATCGCAGCATTTTTCACAAACTACAATGGGTGTTAAAATATTTATAAATTAAACATAGAATTTTAACTTGGTTATGCTCTTGCACTTACGAAATTTATAGATGACCTCAATACTGCAAGTATATGTGATAAAATCACGTGACTAACACATCACATGACTGACACATCACGTGACAAGTCTAAATAGAAAATCTATTTGTCCTCAATATGTACTTAATAAACCATAATTACATCTGTCCGATATTAGTAAAGTACTACAAAGAATCACCATTCTGAAAAGAACATATTTTTTATTATAAAATATCACCGATATTTCGATTGCACACCTTAAATGTAGTAGATTTTGACTGTTTTAAAAGTTTTGACAAGTATGACACCAAAATATATAAAAGTTTTTAGCTTTGTTAGCCAAGTCAGCTAAAGGGCAACAAAAAGTAGCGTAAGTGGCATTTTATATATGCCAAAAGCTGAATATTCCAAACTGAATATTATATACGATATTTTAAAGTATCAACTGCAATTTTATGAAATCGGCAGCCTGAATCTGTTAGAACCTGTAATTCTGAATATGTGCAGCATTATAATTTAAACAAGTAAAATTATTGTTTTGAATCACCTTGTTTTTTTTTGCACAAAGAACAAATAGTTTACTCATTTCATTAATGACGTGTATATAACGTAATGTATATATTTATATACAATCTATTTTCTATTCTCTTATTCTTTTGTCTGTGAATATGTTTTATACAGGACCACAATGTAAACTAGTATTAATTACTAATTGCATCCTGTCTAAATGAAAGATTATTATCATTATTGAAAGCCTTATAGAATGTATGTAATGCAGAACTTTAAGAAAAAATGACTCTGACAGCCACCTTGTTTTTGCAAAATTGATAAACGAGCATGGTGGTATAATTAATGTTTTTCGATATGGTTGCAATGACAATAGCAATAGTGTGGGGAATCCATCAAGTCCCAATTGTAGGAACGTGAAAATGATGAATCTTTTCAAGGAAACGCGAACCCATAAACATGTTCACCAAACTTACAATAAACCTAATATACATAATGTTTCTTTAAATTCCCTTCTTTCTAACGTCAATAAACAGCTAGGGCTGCATAACATCTGGGACAGTCCTTTGTAATATTGCATCATCAGTTTGAACTGCTCCGAACTGACAAAGTACGTAACAACATAGTCTTTGTTTGTAATGCTGATTATTACAATTGCACTTATTTAATTCTACGAGTGGTAATCTAACCTACAGTTCTTTTTCTAAGGATGAAATTCTTCAAAACCATGACAGTTTTAAATATTTTTAATATTCCCAACAACCAAATGAAATTCAAATTACCATACCTATCCTGGATTCGAAAACCTCGTAAAAAATACTTACAGACAAAGATAAAAAGCGGGTTCTAGTTAATTTTCTACCAAGCCTCTTTATTTATCCAAATATATCAACAGCCTTGAAGGAGAAACTTCAGGAGTACTGGTGCTGTACAATAACATATTCGGGAAATTGTGTTACTTAAATATGGGTACTTAAAAACTCCAATGAACATGGAGAAAATTTGAAATTACAAAATTTTACCAAAATCAAAAGGCATCAAAACATACATTTTTTTCAAAATTTTATATAACCATTCCCCACGATAAATTAGAGACCAGGCTTTTTGACATTATATAAACTTGCTTCATCAATAAAAAAAATACTAGTATAACTCAGATACCAGGTATTTGCAAACTTATTTTGATAAAAAAAACATTCTGATTCGACACACAAGTACCTCAAGATTGGTATTAAAGAAGTGCTTGAGTTTCTTATTGACAATATTTTATGTAATCTGTGAAGACCAGGTCCTCCAGCAATCCGTAGGAATTCCCATTGAAATTAATTGTGCCCTGTTATAAGCAGCTTTTTTGTATTCTTATATGAAGCAAATTTTATTCAAAAACTCCTACATGAAAAGAAGAACTTCTGTGTTAGTTCTGCTCACATTTTGTATTGTTTAAACGAAGGGCTAAAATAGGCTTTGCCTGCTGCCCAATTCCATTCACTTTTTGTGAATAAAATTATGTATAAATGAATTCAAAATTAAGTATTTCGATATCAAAAACGGCTTCCTTTATTTCAAAAAAATATTTTTTTTACCAAGCAATGTTTTACAGGGTGTATGTAATTTTCTCGTTTCATAATTCCTTTTAAACTATGCAATATATGCAGTGAAAGACTAATAACAGCCTCCGCATCTTGGCGAAATTACTGTTAAGAGACACGAAGACTGAAAATGTTAAAACTAAAGACTCATACACAAGCACTGTTTTTAATTCTATGCAGTTATTTTAACAGGATAAATAACAGCGTGTGTACGGATAAATAATAATTGCATGAAACAATTGTTATGACACTTGAGATTTTTTCTGGAAAAGAGGTCTGCTCTGTTTCAAATGGAATTGCGTACAATTTTTTTCACAGTAAATCAATCAGAACTAAAAGAGAGATGTCATTATCAGAATATGCAATTTATTTCTACACTTAAACAAATGAAAAAATGACAGCAATGAATAGAAATGTCTTACTACAACCTAAACCGTAAAAATAATGCGTGCTATTTATATCCTTTAACATTTTTACTTATATATAATATACAAGCAGTCGTCCAAAAGTTTTATTAAGAGTATGGTTCAGTGAAGTTTGATTTATCTGGATGCTAGGATCCAGTCCTCAATACAACTTTGCTTAAATGTACAATTTTGGAGGGAAAATAGAAGTAATGTATTCAATGAGTTGCAGGGTGTGTCATCAAAGAATGACAAGTAATAAAATTTTAATGAGATTAATTGCATCGCCTAGCTGTTCTGGACTCAAGAGAACAAAACCTTAAGATTTAACAATCTTTAGTTTCTTAAAATACAACGATCATAAAACAGAGTATGAGCTCAATAAGTATGTAGCAGACCCCCTTCAGTTGTGGCGGGATAATGCACAACAAACCCTCCAAATTTCAATTTTAGCGGGAAAGTATCTTGCAATGTTTGTAACATTTCCGATTTCAGAAGGAGTTTTTGTGACTTAGTCGCCATCATCAGTGGTTGTTGGAATTCTCGTTTAAAAATAAAAATAAGCTATGTTAATGAAAATGACGCTGAAAATAAGACTTGGCTCAGATTGCAATAACTAAAATAATGTCCATGTTAGTTTTCTTTTTCAACTTCGAAAAAAAAAGTTTCTTAGAATTTTGATAAGTATAATTTAGCAAATCTGTTTTCACAAATTGTATGAAAATAACGTGAATAATTCATAATAAATTACTTTCACATCTTATTTGTTCGATGAACAGGTGTGGAAAACAACATAATTCACATTAAGTTGATTTGAATAAGAAGTTTCGCACTAAAAATATTTCCTTAACAAGAAAGCAACTTGTGCTATTATGAAAATGTATTATGAAATATACGGTATAAAATGTCAAATCTGACACATGTGTGCCTTTGAATCCCAACCCATATTTTTATTAACACTTTGCGATTTTCAATTAACATGTTCGGTAAATCCGGTGAGATTATGAAAGAATATGTTGCAAAAGAATGGGGTTGTATCATTTTATGAGCTTGCTGAAATACCTAAGTTTGTTCAAATGTGATGTGTTCAAGGTCATAGAATCAGAGAACATGGACACAAAGGCAAATACCTTTTATTGAACATGATCACGAAATGCCTTTCAAAACATGCAAGCATTAATTGAAAATAGGAGACTGACACTTAAAAGAGAGTTACTATGAGAGCCTAGTAATTGAAGTTAAACTGGTTCAAGAGCAAAGAATTACTTTAGCCTTTGGTGTTGTACCTACAATATATTCTCCCGCTATCCTAGTTTAGAAACAAATTGCAAGACAGATAAAATCTCAGAGGCTATCTAAAATGAAAATCTGAAAGGACTTTCTTTCTCTAACACTTGAATTTAAAGACTTTGACCTTAAAATATATTTAATAATATGTTACAAAGCGAAATTTAAAAGCTTTTTGTTAAACTTATCTCGCCTTGTTTTTATCTGTCATAAAAAAAATACAATTTTGAAATCAATTGATTTATCTTTAATGAATTTTTTCCATGATACTTCAAAATATGGAAAATATAAAGATGTGTTTCAAATTCATCGACTACCTATACAAACAATTAATTTAGTTATTAGTTTTACATCAATAAAAAGGTGCTGAGAGATAAAGATATAACCATTGGAATGAACATTTTCTTTGATCCACTTTCAGAAATACATTGCATTGATTTGTTTCGCGCCCTCCTGAGGGTAACCACTAACCACTGACTTCCAGCATCACTGGTCTGTTCTCTAAAAATGTATGCTCAAAAATCTGAAAAAGTGAAGGAAAAAAATAAAATGTGATAATATTTTATAGGCTTTGCCTTCATATACTAAGCACCATTTTAGTTGAGCTCGTTTTATTTGTTTTTTGTTTTTTTATTCTTTAACGATTTTCACGTCATAAAACTTAAGAAGTCATTCTCAGTGCAGTCATAAATGGTTTTTGTTTTGTTTGTTTGTTATTTAACGTCCCTCTCGAGAATTTTTCACTCATATGGAAACGCCACCACTTGCAGGTCGAAAGCTGCAAATTTTGACCTATACTCGGCACTCACGGCAAGCACCTACTGCGACACGTGACCACGATTTATAGGGTCTCTCTCATACGAAGGACCGGTCTCCACGTCCCACAGTGGGATTCGAAACCGCGACGTAAGGATCAACTCCTTACTCCGCGACTCTAGAGCAGACGCTCCAACCGCTGCGCCACGCTGGCGACGTCATAAATGGTCAATGAGATAACGGATAAAATTTTTGCCGTTGACGTTTTAAAAATAATTATATCATGCGTTAAATATTATAATCACGCAAACATATATTACCAATCAGTCATAAATGTAAATCAAAGTAATAAGGTATCACTTTAATACATTCATTGGGATATTTATTGATACTTAATCAAATATACCACAAAAAATCTGTATTCATACCCCTATAGATGTTTAAAAATGAAATATTATTTCTTAATTGGTTTTTAAATTTGAGCTTTATGCATATGCTTAGGATCTTGTAGAAAAGTAAGAGCATATATCTCCGTTATTTACATGAACGTACATTTGTAGATATGGTATTCCATAATAAAAACATCCTCAAATCCGATAAAATAACAAATTTGCTGTTTTGTTAGTCGAAATTAGCACACTTTTTAAGACAACACCATACCTTTACTTGTAATTCCTTGGTTAGACAGCCATGTCAGCGCCTTATTCTAGTTAAAATTCTCACCTTTCCATGTATATTTAACCATTAATTTTGCTACACACCCGCGAAAGAGGTCCAAAAAGGATAACCAAAGCTAGAGAATTCAAGTAAAATACGCTTCTATCTTAAACGCAGTAATGTTAAGGCTTCCCGAAGCTTTAAATGCGTTCAAAACATAACACTGCATTGCAAGGTCGATTTTTTATTTTTGTTTGTAAGTTATGTACTTAAGTACGGTCAATTTGCATAGAGAATTCTCTAGGCTATATTACTTAAATGTTTATTGACATACAATAAAATTGTCTAAACTTAAAAATTATCCTTCATTGTGCCTCACAATAAGCTTTTGTCAATGATTTCGTATCAATAACGCACCAATAGCACTGCATGTTCAGGCATTAAGGCATGATAAGTGTACAGTATATATAGCTTGAAAGTTTGCAAGAAAAATCATCGAGTCCCAGCAATGATCTCCAAAGACATTGGTCGCCTGATCGTGCTATCAGCATTTGTAGCACTTTGTGCTATTGTGCTCTTTCCCTCTAAAGCAGAGGGGCGCGGTGAGAAATTGCTTCTGCAATAATATTTTTTTTTACATCTTTAAAATGTGCTAACATATCATGTTTTCCAAGAGTACGTAGACACTATGGCCGTTTATTTCGACTGTAATTTGTACTCTGGGTGTTGGTAAAATCTACAAAGAAGAAACTACACTTTGTGAACTATAACTATAAAAGTTCTTTTTTTTAGTCTCTTGATATTAAATTCTTTTTCTTTTCATACATTCTTTTTATGTTTACTTTTTTTAGGATACGGAAGTGTAAGTAGAAAAATAAAGAATTATATTTTATAATAATGAACTTTAAGACTAAAATTCCTGCTTCCTTTTATATAGTTTCATTTGAATTCCATTTGGTTTACTGTGTTTGTATAGAAGAAGCATACATTTAACCTATATTAAAAAAACAAACAAAAAATGTTTATTTTCATTTATGAGTTAGGTTTAAAGTATGAACTTTGAACCAAATGTATGGGATGAAATCTTACCTGAGAAATGATATCAACGATTTCCAACATGGCCCCATTTTATCTTTTAATGCACAAAGGTTTCCCAGTATCGAGGCAATGTAAAACGGCGTTATCCTTTTGGTAAATTCCACCCTGGATATCCATTTAAGCGTGGATTCCCAGGAAAATACAGAGGAAGAGGAAAACTCAGGAAAGGAAGAGGAGGATACAAGTTTGGAAAGAGATTCGGAAAGCGCCGAGGATTGAAGAGAGGTAGGGGATACGGAAGACGAAGGGGGCTCAAGAAAGGAAGGGGAAGGAAATATAAGTTTGGAAAAAGGGGAGGAAAGGGGTATGGTAGACGCCGGGGATTGAGGAAATATAGAAAAGGAAGAGGAAAGAAAAGAGTTGGAAGGAGATACGGAAAGGGCAGAGGAAGAGGCAAGGGACGAAGACGAGGAAGGAAATACAGATATGGACCACGTAAGCGTGTTGGAGGAAAGAGACGCAGGGGACGAGGACAATACAGGAAAGGTTACTCCAAAAAGAAAAACCCCGACAACTGTTAAATGAACAGATTGCCGACTCAAAATCTTGTAGAATATTTCATATTGCAATTACGTTATGAATGTATAATAAAATTATGAAATGTACATTTGTTTGCTTTTGGCTTTTGAGTACTGATTTCAATGAGAGATTATGGAAATTCACTCTTCAACGTAAATTCAAAGAAAAAATATTAAGAGTTTCTTAAATTGACGGATACTAAGTAGTACTAGTGGTAAAATTAGGTAAAGTGTAATGAAAAGGCAAATTCTGATTTATAAGGTATGGAAACTCTGTCCTGCTTAAATCAATGCCAAAAGTGTGAAAACTAAGTAAATGTAGTAATTTTATAGATGACAATATTGTTTCCCGATGAACCTTCTTAATAGAGTGTTCCGTATTATTGAAACTAAATAAAACATTCTTAGCTTAAAAATTAGTAGCCAAACTGTAACGAAATAGACGCTGCTGTTACGTTTATTGAAGTAATAACCTTTGCCTACATCGTCCGGTAAAACATAAGAATGAATTTAGAGCTTGACTCTTTCAAGAAAAATGTTTAGAATTGATAATCAGAAAAAAATTGTTTAATAAAAAGAAAAGCTAGTTTATTACATGTACATCGTTTCAAGTCTTATGTTTGTAAGAAATGATAAAAGCTCTTCCATAAAAATAAAAAAAAACAGCTAAGTCCAAAAGGTTAGAATTCTGATTGAAAAAATAAATTCATATTTTTTTATATAAAAAATCTGACATTTATTGATTTTTTTATTTACTTGTTCGATCATGTTCAGTTTTCAATAGCAAAGGCATTTTATCAGTTAGAACAAAAGTAATGTCTCTTTAATATTTAATTTTTAGAAGACGTTTTTGCATTTTTTTTTTTTACTTAAAACGATCATCCTTCAAACTATTTTTTCGCCTTATCTCGATGTAAAAATTCTTTTACTTATTTTTTTTTATTTTTTGACTTTTTTATTTTACAGTTTTTATACAGAGCATGATTAATTTAAAATAATCTAAAGCGCGTCACTTAAAATATAATTTGATTAGACAATTTGCTTTAAATTGAAGCAGTAAATAAAACGATTTTTACAAAATATAATTGGTATAGAAAGTTATGAATTATAAAATAAGTTTAAAGATATTTTTTAGAACTTTGAATAGAGTCACAAAACCAAAGTTCTATAGGTAATCATTCCGGATGGTGGCTACAGCGGCATCAGAATGCCTATTCCCGTAGGTTTTTGGTAGGAACACGGGGTCTAACAAGTGTACAAGTGTCCTATATCATCATCTTGATACGAAATAGGAAATTTGAAGCTGATAATATATTTTACATTTTATTTTTACTTGAATATACATACAAAAACATTTTAAAATATTTAAGACGCGTTATTTCATAGTATAGGATGTTTCACTACTTTCATCCTAATGAAGTATTTTTTACTTAAAGATCACGCTAGCCAGTCTGATAGAGCAGGCTCCCTGGCCATAAAACTTTGTGAGTTCAATTTTGATCTCAATCGCACTTTTCCACAAAATTATTGTTTTTGTTTGTTTGTGTGTTTGTTGTTTAACGTCCATCTATAATACTGAGACTGAGATCAATAGTGAGCTCGTCTAAGTTTTATGGCCCTGGAGCCAGGTCCGTAAATTCTAAACAAAGTCCGAAAATAGAATAATAGCAATAACAAATGGGCAATACAATGATCCAAACCTATATACTTTATAAAAGAGTATTTCCTTAGGATCTACTTTAAAACACTTAAATGTCAATGAACACTTAGAATTACAATTATTTCAAACATTTTATATGTATATACCGGGTTCTACTTATTTCTGAAACACTGTATCAATTATATCTGAAGTGTTATGTATGTTATTCTGTTCTCTTTATATAACATAAGTCTATACCCCCTTTTTTACAGGTATACAAGGCACATTAAAACTTAATTTTTAAATTGTATTTTTAGTAAAATATTTTAAGGTTATTTTTTCTTTGTTCTGTAATAAACTTCCATAACATACACACACAGACATACACACACAGACACACAGAAAAAGGAATAAAAAGACTTTGGTCGTTCACCTTCCTTTCAGTTGAAGAATTAAATATTAGATAAATATTTGATCTTTTTTAAAGGTCTAAAAGATTATATCAATTGTCCCATTATTCATGTTGCAGGCTTATTGTTTGTTACCAAAACAAATAACAAAAAAAATAGATAAAGAAAAACTCAAGTTGACCATGTTCCCCTTAAAGAATTGTTTATCATAGCATGTGAATTTATGTTTTACATTTCACACATAGTTTAAAACATAAAATATAGTTTTAAAAAATGCCAAATTTTACAAGTTTTTAATCGCAATACTTAAAAAGTACATCTACGTTGAAAAACTCGAATATGTAGAAATATTTATAGGAAATGTATTGTCAATTTGGAGGAGAGCAGCTGTTTTGTGATTATATAAAATCTAAAATATATTGTGACAAGGAAAACATTTCTATAGGTATTGCTTATTCAATTATCTCTCAAAAAAGTCAAGACTGCTTTAGGTAATATAAATCACAAAGTGAGAACAAGTTCGACTTTATAAAACGACTTTAAGATTTTTTAAATATCACAAACCTGATCTTTGATGGTTCGAGGAAGGATATATTTCTTTTCTCAAGGAAGTTGAATGTTCAAGATTAAATCTTTAAGTTTATTGTTTTATAAAAGGTCTATTGATAGACAATACGCATGAAAATATGAAAAACTCATCTTTCCAAGTTTAAAGATGAACACAAACATTTGAAAATTAGAATAAAGATCAATTTTAATGTCGATAACTTGGTACATTTCCAAATAGTTTGGTGACGAGCAGTTCGCATGCTACACAGCACATCCTTAGTTACCTTTCACTGTTTAAATTATGTATATTATTCTATTATTTAATTATTTTAGAAGTACAGTGTATTTTGTCATTACACTTTGTGTATTCCGGGGGGAATAAACAATCTCCAGTTTTGTTTGATTACATGTGAAAATAGTATTCTCAAGCAACAGCAGGTGTATACTAAGAAAGTCATGTATAAAAAACAAAAAGGAGATTAGTGATACAAATCATTTGATTGTTCCCAGCTGATGTGTTGCATATTGACAAAGAGGCCAGCCACAGGTTTAAAAAGGAATAATAGATCTAATTCTTGTTTTTTATATAAACTGTTTTTTTTTTAATTTCTTTATATTTTTTTTTATCAAATTTTAAACCTTAATAAATCTTATCTAACAGATAGATTGAGCAAGGTCGTTAAAAATAAGTGTTGCCATTTAAACACAGACCCCCAAGTGGGCCTCGCCTTTGATGTCTCTATATTGCTGATGCTTCATAAAACAATTACAAGCTAAGCACTTTTAAAATTAGTATATAAATAAAATAAGGCAGGTTCCCAACTGATTCTAAACAATGATGTCCAAGCACATCGGTCGACTTATTGTGCTATCAGCATTTGTAGCACTTTGTGCTATAGTGCTGTTTCCCGCTGAAGCAAAATGTGGTAGGTTCTCTTATAACAATCAGAAATCAGGGTTTGAAAGTATTCTCCAACACTGGATTTGTGACAAACAGAGGAAAAGATAGTCAGATAGACAGACACTCAAAAATGTAAAACACAGTATGACTTTTCCCTGATTCTTGATTTTTTTCTTCTTTCTTTTTTGTTATTAGTTTCCTGTCATGAAATTGAAAAAAAGAATTACTTAAGTGCGTTGATTGAAAAAATGTATCAATGTGAACAAAATCATTATTTAGAATGCATTGTTTTGCATGTTTGCGTTGTGTTTTTCAGTTGTATATTTTTTATTGCTTTTTATTGCATCTATATCATGTATTTATTTTATTTCGTTTTAAGGATACGCATCTGTAAGTAGTAAAAATATTTTACTTTTTAATGAGATTTCTGATTTCTATAAGATTTCTTTTATCTTTACTTTAATTTAAAAATTCTTAAAAAGTGTATTGTTTTTTTAGAAAGCAAAATACAGTATATGAAAATAAGAATTGATTTTTTTCTTTGACCTTACAATAGACTTACAAAAACAATGGAGTAAAACATCAGCAACCTCTGCGTCACAACTTGCACGGATTCCTATTCAAACGCGGGTACCCACGCCGACACCTACACGTGCACTATCCCGGAAAATTCCGTGGTCTTCGGAAATTCCGAGTAAAAGTGAGGGGCAAATACAGATTCGGAAGAAAAAGAGGTCATGGAAAATACCGCGGATTGAAAATATTCCGTGGAAAAGCAAAAGGCAGATACAACTTTGGAACAAAGATTGGATTAGGAAAATATCGTGGATTGAAGAAATTTCGCAGGGGTAGGGGAAAGTACAGTTTTGGAAAAAGAAGGAGATATGGAAAACATAGAGGTCTTAAAAAACGTCGAGGACGTGGAAAGGGAAGATACAGAAACAAGAAAAACCGCCGAAGAGGGTATGGAGGGAAATACAGGGGACCGAGAAAGTACATTGCGGGAAAGAAACGCAGAGGGCCTGGAAAGTTTAAGAAAGGATATCCTAAGAAAAAGAAATTGGACAAGAACTGCTAGATAAAAAAATTGGGTTTGCTATTCCCACAGGATGTTATATGTTTGTGTTATATGAATGGTTATGTATTAAAAAATAAATTATGTATTTTAAAAAAAAAACTTTTTTTTTCTTTCAAAATATCAGATAGTACATTTGGTTATCACTGTGAAACTTTTAGGGAAATAGAGGAGTGTAGTTGTCTTAGACATTAAATTAGGAGATAACGTAATACATTCGAATTTCATATTTAATTACCTTGAAGTGTGTTCATTTGAAAATACATTTGTGAAGTTATGGCTATAGAAGAAATTGACTGAATTCAGAATTTATATTGAGATATTAAACGAATTCACAAGTTTGAAGCATATTGAAGAATATCTCACAGAATTTATTTTTAACCCATGAAATGGCATTAGACCTCGTACCTGTTGTTGAAAATAATACCA